GAGAGAGAGAGAGAAATGTATCTTTTACAAGCGTAACAATCGAACGTAAATTGAAATGAAAAATTTATCGAAACATTTGATCGACATTGTTTCTTAAAGTAAAATTGGCAATTGCTTCTGGGAAAACATATTTCACGTCTATCGGAGATCCAGACATCATGTCTTATTACATTATCACCGGAAAACCGGTGTGGGATGTGAAATTTGCTGAACGCCTTTGTCGGTAATTAAAAAAAAAAAAAAAAAATACTTACGGTAATTTAAGAAATCATCATCGTTTGCGTCAATTATTATATTATATATTAGAGGAGGCGATATCTTAGTAGCTCCCAGTAGCTGGCAATGGGTGAATCCGAACGAATATATCCACGAAACACTTCCCGATGGTATACACACCCTTATTATAACTTGCACAGCCATGTGGTTTCAAACTAGGGAAGATGAAATGACCGAGGAAGGTATTGTAATTAAAATTATTCCATTTCATTTGTCAATTTCGAGTATTTCATCGCGACTATTATTAAAAGCGATATAATTAAAAATTATTATTATTTTATTCAGAAGAGGAAGAGGAATATATAATAGAAAAATACGATCCAACTATCATGGCCAGAATGCATGTGGAGAAAGAATCTGAATTGGACGAATTGCTGACCAGGCAACGATACGAGCATGAAAAGTTCGAGGAGGTCGATTACAGCTGTAAGTAAATCGTGTCTCGTGAAAAGAATAAAGAAATTCGATGCTTAAAAACAGATGTTTTTAGTGCGGCCCAAAGTTATAAAAGCGGCAGAAAGTCATTTGAAAGCATCTTTGAAAAGTTATATGCTGAGACCTGTCATTCGTTCCGTGGAAATGGACGAACCATTGGAATATCTAACCGAAATGAGACAAGTGGTGATTCTGTTCATCAACGTGATCACCGTCGATGCGTACAAAGAAGTATTAGTCAATTTAGTGAATATTATTTATAAACTTGTGTGCCAGTAAGTTATTATCTCTTCCTTTCGTATTTTCCTTTGATGACATTCCTTTGATTTTCCTTTCGATCCGAAGGATCGTCGGTGAAATGCACGGATGCGTGAACAAGACGTCTCTCTTCGACAAAGATTTGATGTTCCTCTGCGTGTTCGGTTTAAGAGGCGATAAGCACGAATTAGAGTCGCAGATCGGCTTAAAATGTGCATTTAAATTAAGATCGATTCTCATAGAGATGAATAATATTAAATCTGTGACTATAGCTGTAACCACAGGGATGACGTATTGTGGAGTAATTGGACATATTTTGCGAAGGGAATATACAGTGATTGGAACGTCGGTGAATAAAGCTGCGAGGCTTATGGTAGCGTATAAGGACAAGGTAAGAATTAGCGAATCTTTAAATGTTATTTTGCAGAAGACAAGGGAAAATAATGAAGAATCGGTAGGTGGTTTGTGATCGAGAAAGTTTTCTTCATTCTCATCTCGAGTCTGGTCATTTCATTTTACAAGAGCCAAAATACTTGAAGGGAATCTCACATGTTGGACCGATATACGAGTTCCAAGAACATCCAAAGTAAATATATATTATACCTTACTATATACACTATACTATATCTGTATAATGTTCAATTGGTATTTTGAAAAATTATAATAATTATTAAATTATTAAATCTAATAATAATAATAATAATAATAATAATAATAATGATGTTAGATTCATCTCGCCGTATTTAGTTTGGAATTCATATCCTTTACTCGATCGAATCAATGAAATGGAAACGTTTACATCGATGTTAACAAAATTGATAAACTATAATACTATAATTAAAGAAGAACGTGGTCCACGACCAGAATTCAATACTCTTGTTATAAAGTAATTATCTTTATCGTTTTTTCATCTCATTATCGTTGAAATATTTTATCTCTAATGCAAATATATTTTTCAATCGCCGTGGATTCAAAGGGGTGAACCGCGAATAGGAAAGACAAGATTACTAGATGAATTTACACGGAACATTTCACCGAACATACGTTATAATTATATTAACTTGCAACCAGATGATAGCCAGGTTCATACTTCGTTCAATTATTATAAAATTTCAGAATTTAATCCCGTATTATGGCTGTATCGGTGTAATATTTCTTTTTCAAATGCTTGACCAACCAACCAAACGTGATTTATTTCTCAGTGCAGATCCCGTACATGATGATAAATTTAATATTTTCAAAACCTCTTGATTTCACCGCGATGTCCACGCAAAAAGAACGCGAGGATAAAATACTTTTGCGTCTAGGAAAGGTGAAATACCCGTATTTCCTGTGTGTTTTCAATGAGCCTTTCAACGTACAATTCCCTATCACCACTGATTACAACAATTTAAACGAGACACAGAAACGAAAGCTTTTAAGGAAGTTCTTATTAAAATTAATAAAAGGTAGTTTCAGAGAGTTGTGGGTGAATATCATTGATGATGCGGAATATAGCGACCCAAATTCCTTAGAGGTATTTGACGTTTTCACGAAAAAAGATATAATCTTCTTTGTGATTAGCATTGGGCGGAAAGTAGACACGGACTTCCCAATATTCTTCAATATTCTGAGCAGAACACTAGTAACTTGTTTAATTCTTCTTTTATAAATGTAAGTCGTGTGACCAATGATGAAGTAAAAATCGTTTGTTAAAAGGTAATAGAATTGGTTGGAATAGACAAGTGGTATCATGCTGCGTTAGCGTGTCAGATGCTTAACGTGAACGGTCTGCCTGCGGAGCTTGAAAAGTAATTTTTTAAAAATTATCCGAACATTTACTACAATTCAAGTTCTATTATTATAACTCGACACGAATATATATACATATATTTTTTGAAGAATAATACAGGAGAAAAGTTTCGGTAATCCTGGTTGGATCGAAAGTTATCTGTTGAGTCTTCTTCAAGTTGGAGATATAGAAATAGTATATATAACGAGAAGAGAGGCGAATAATAAAGGTTACGTGTTACCCCCTGTACATATGTTAAAAAGGTATATTTGAAAATCATGCTCATTACGCATAACGCATAAATACTAATACCACGAAATTTTCATCAGACTTACTTCGCAAATAGATGAAATTAGGGATGTTCGCGATGATAGATGGCAGATGTACATGGCAAGTTATAAGGTATGTTGTTCGTTAGTCAAACATTATTATCCTTAATACGAATCGAATAATAACGTTTTACTTCAGGAAAGCAAGCCTTTGGAGCCAAGGCAAGACAATATACATAAACATTTGAGTATCGATCCTGAGGAGACTAAGATCGCCGTTTGCAACATTACAAAAGATTTCATGTATGAGGACGAAAATTCTGAAATTACGATGGATGGTAGAGAAAAAAAAATAATTCATTTATTATTGGCATCGTATCGATAAATAATAGAAAATATCAAGAATAACAGAAAATATTTATATCAGTTATGATATTGAAGCTTTTCGATTCATTAACACCTCTCGATCAATTTATATTGAAGTGTGCTTCCGTGATCGGGGAAACTGTAAATAGACACATGTTAGAAAGTTTAATGCCCATCACTTCTAAACGAGACATCGGTCTTGGTAACGCATATATTTTGTTATTTGTTAAATATAATATCTAATTAGAAGATTTAGAACTGCATAATTTATTAGCTGTTACGAAACTCTTCGAAATACGAATCTTTGGCTGCGCAATCGGGGATTTTACCAAAACTAAAGGCCCTATAATATTTATCAAAAACATATATAACGATTTGATAAATAATGAATCAAATGTCTTCTGCAAGTGTATTGGCCTTACTATTCCAGGTACATATCAATTGCAACGTATTAATACAGAAATGAATAAATCGTATAAATAATTGACTCGCACTAATGAAAAGATACGTTTCCTTAGATGAATTGAAAGATTTGCCAAAATACGCTTCTTGTGGGTTGATAAGATTCAAAATGACGATGTTCCGTGAAACTACTTATCGGTATTAATTTTTTTTTTTTTTTAATTACGAGCAAATTATTATTATGTCAAGAAAAAATATATTAAAAAAATTTTAATTTATTATAAAATAGATTACTGACAGAAAATCAGAAAATAGAGTTGCACAATCAAGCGCTGAAATATTTGCAATATCATACAAGACGTTGTATTTCTTGCGGAGAAGGTCGATTCGTAAAATTATTAGGAGAGGTATCGAAAATAGATGAAAGAAAGAAAACAATAGCAGATTTAGATGAGATATTCGAAGAAGACATTTATGAAGAGGAAGATATTGAAAAGGAGAAAAGTAAGTTGAAATATTTTAAAAATTGTTTTCTTAACTTTCAATAATTTTATTTATTATCATTAAATATGTTAAATAATAGAAGGCAAGATATTTCTTACTTGTATGAATATATTTCGAACTATCGAAAGAAAACCAACACTTACATTTTCGGATTTGGATTTTTCCAATTGTTTATGTGATTTGATATTAATGACTACGTATACTCAAATGCTTGACCATTGTCGTGGTATTGGTAAATACATTCTTTAAAATAAATTCGCTTAATTAACATAATATATATATATATATATTAATTTATGTCATTAAAACATTCTATTTTAGGAAAATTGGATATAATACTAACTGCTCTTTTAGAATTTGCAGAAATTTGTATAATTTCTTATAATATACCGCAAGCTAGAAAACTTTTAAAAGAGAGCGAAGATGTTCTCGAAAAGGTATTGAAATTTCTAAAATTTCTTTTCTAAAAATGGAATATTTATGAAATCTCTTTTTTTAATATTAATCGAAATACTTGAAATCTTATCTAAAGCTACTTGAATTGGACGAAAACGATATAGTTGTTTTTCCTTTTTTTGCTGCAAAAATACAAATTCTTCAAGGCCAATGTCTCCTTGAAACCGGCTCCATTTTTGAAGCCGAAGAATTATTCGAAAAGGCAATGTTCAATTTAGGATATAAATTTCCAAAAATTGAAATGATGATCGATATAAATTCGTTAATGCAGTTATTTAATCTGAAATTAAAATTCATTTTTATGAAAGATATTAAATATTTCGAAGAGGAGTATCGGGATTATACTCAACAATTAGCAATATGTTTGATACAAATGTTTAAACTCTACAGGGTAAGTTGAGTTATTTAAAATTATTCGAAATTAGCACATTTACGCTCTATTACACATAGATTAGAGGAATGAAGAAGCACGCTCGTTTAGCAGCTATTTGGAGTTTGAACGCAGCTTTGGAATCTAGCAAGGATACATATACTCTCTGTATATCGCTCAGCAATATGTTAACCACTGCACATATGTATCAAGATAGGTGAGAATTTTTATAGCACGATTAAAATATCCGATATTCTAACAACATTTTTTTACTCAATTCCAGATATATCATACCTTATTTAGAAGAGAAGGGTATTCTTATTTCTAGTGAGAGGACAAGAATACTCGAAGCTCAAGAATTGAAAGTGATCGCCCGGCTTTACGCGGCAATATTTTTTTCTCGATGGTTAAGAGCGGACTGTGCGAAAGCCATCCACATCGGTTTTATTACTAATAGAATAGCCACTAGGATCGGATCCATATCTTTGAAAATAATTATGCTACCACGATTAATTCATTTGTTGCTATTATCATGTCGACTCTCGGAAGCAATCACTCAATTAAGAGAATTAGGTAATGATTTATTTACGATACAATAGTAGTCTATAATAGTAATTGTAATAAAATCATTTTTATAAATGTTTTCTACGATTTTGTAGAATTTGTGTCCCATAATGATTTTGATAAATCTGGACGTACTTGGTACTACGCACTTTGCGCTGACATTTATTTAGATACTGGAATGTCAATTGTTTCTTTTCAAATTTGCGAACAGTATTTTCTTCATGAGGGCGAACGAATGATAAGTTTATACAATCCAGAAGCAGACAATCGATATTTCACATGCATGTGGCTATGGTATGCGGATACAAATGATCGTTCTTTCTCTTTAAAAAAACAGAATGATATTAATTGATAAAAAAAAAAAAAATTGATTATATTTTTCTTAAAGGTGTATTAGAAATGAACAATGGGATGCTGCAAAAGTATGGAGAAATAGAATCATAGAAACCCCTATTATGGATGAACATATAGTAGCAGCAACAATAACTTTTTTAAAAAAACTCGAAGGGCTATTAATTCTTTATGGTATAAATTTTTATGAAAAGAATTTATTGCAAAATTATAAGATAATTTAATAAATTATATATTATTTATAATAAAATTTCATCGATATAGTGCATAAATTAAACACCAGAAATATAGCTGCAACTATTACTATGAGAGAAATAAAAAATATGTTTAAATATGCAAAAAAAGTGACCAAGATTGTTATAATCACAATTCCCAGGTATATAAAACTAATGTTTCAATTGTAAAATATATAAATAAAATTTTGAAATCGAAAAAAAATGTTTACAGATATATGTTATTAAAAGCATATTATTGGATGATAAAATCACAAAAAAAATAGAGCAATAAAGATGTTAAAAAAAGTAAAAAAAATATGCGAAAAAATAGAAAATAAATTGATCCTCATATGGGCACAACATTGTGAAAAGGTTTCATTTAATATTAGAAATAATACTTGTGTTTTCAAAATAAAAATAATTTATCAAATAAGAGAGAATTATTTGATATATTTTTTGTTAATAATAAATATAAAGAAATAATATTGTAATAATATATTGTAAAAATATTTAAAAATATATTTTCAGGTTTGGTTAAGCGGAATTTCTCCTCTACATACAGAAATGTGGAAAGAAATCTCGAAGTTAAATAAATGGGATGAAATCAATGCAAATAATTCACATATGATAATCTTTACTTTTCCTCTGCCAAACTATCTTTTTTTGTAATTTTTTATTTCTAATTTTAAAACAATTATAATATAATAATAAAATATATACAACAACAAAATATTATTAAAAACGAATTTTTTTTATCTGTATAAAGATATCTTTCTTTTACATATTATATTAGAAGAATGTGTGTGTGTACACATATATATAAGCAAATATTTTTATCTTAATATAACAATAATAGAATTTCATTAATAATGGAAAAATCCCATAATGTTCCACAACAAATAATAAGATATCTATAATTTAATTATATAATCAAGATATTCAAAGAAAATCTTGCAAACTTTAAATTAAATTTAGTATGCGCTGTTCTTAGCTTGGCATTGCTTTAGTGAATAATAAACTTTGTAATATAATATTTATAATAAAATTAATCATAGGCTATGCTTTGGAAAGTGATTCCAATTATTAAGTCTATGAAATGATATGAGATTAATTTGCAAAAAATATAATATAAATCATTAATTTTCAAAAAAAAATTCAGAAAGATTTAAAACATAAGGAAGAAATTTAAATAAGTAATAAAAATAAAATAAGTCTAAAAAATAATATAATATAATATAAGTATCAATAATATAAATTTAAAATTTAATATAAATGAATATGATAAAAATTAATTTTTTACGATCTTTTGAATGTCAAAAATATTTTTCCATAAACACTTACAATTATAAAAATTGGATGGAATTGGAGAGTCTATTAAAGTTTTTAATCAATTAAATTGATAGAATAATGATGCAATAAAGTTAATCCGAAAGCAGTGTTCTTTTAACGCATTTCAAAAATAAATATAAACAAAAATAGTAGAAAAAAGACAAAAATAGAATAAAAGTGTTATTTCTTATTGGATAGATAAGAGCACAATCACAGTGCTAGATATAAAATCTTAGATCCAATCTATAGCTCAACATTGTTTTCCATTCATTCATTCATTCATAATAATAATAACAACCAATATTCGTAAATAAAACATGCAAAACACATGAATAAATATATATAATATAAATACTTGCAAATAAATTATTTTAAACACTCGCTAATAAAACATATATATTAGATACAAAGTATAAATATATAACTTTAAATTATATACAATATCGAATACACATATCTTCGATATATTGAAATTATACAGCGATCTAAGCGCAATTAACGATTTCTTTCTATCGTGATCATAATTTCGACGGTCAAAGTTGAATGTCGTATCGACAATGGTACATTGATAATTATTTGTAGACTCAAACGAATAGTTTAAAATATAAAATATAAATATTATAATTAATTTTATAATATTAAATTTTATTAATTTATTTTATAACAGATTTTTATTATAAATGATTAATATATAATATAATAATTTATTTAGATTTAATAATTTTAAAAGTATACTTTATTATTTTATTTTTATTATATATTTTTAATTTATTATTTTAAAAATTTTTTGTTTATATTAATCCAATTTATAAATTTTTTGTTCAATTTAATTGCTAAACATATAACAACAATCAATATATTTTAAATATCCCAATAGACATAAGAAAATGTATTGAAT